CTGCTGTCACACATGGATACTGCGTGGATTATTTTAGTACATTTAAAGAGAATTTTATATTTTCATGACAATTGTTTCCAAAAGTGGTTGAAACTGTGCTCATAAATACTACTCAGGTAAAAGCACTGCAGTGATAGTTTATTTATAAAGTAGGACAGTAGGACAGTGGCTTACAAAATAACACTTTAGGATATTAAATGTACCAAAGTGTAAAGATGTCATTTTAGGGACCGGAACCTAAACCTTGTGAATATGTAAAAAATAAATCCTTAAATCATTGTGATCTTTAAAAAATTATACAAGCGTATTTAGAGGACCTGGATCCTTATATCCAGAAACCACGTATGATTTATTTATTTGCTACCTGTTTGTCAAATTCATGCGAAACGGCTTTAGATTTATGGATGTAATCTGTTTTATGAATCCACGCAATTGTTCCATTCGTTTCTGTTCATCCATCTGTTTCTTAACACTTTTTATCATTGCGTAATCCATCATGGTAAGCATTAAGTCTGCATTCACTTTGTTGTTGTGAGGTGATGCTGTTAAAGTGAATGAATTACATAACTAATATAAGGCCAGTTTCAAGAGTGTAGAAAGAATTAGAACAATAGGTGTCTGGAACAGTAGGGAACAAATGCGATTTCTATAATATAAAATAATGTTAGCTTTGATGTAAAGTATATATGATTTGTTGTAAATTGGCTAAACATGCAAAACCTGGTAAGGCTGCTTAAAGGAGACAGAAAAGAGGTTAGTTTTGTTGTAAACTGGTGTGACCTCAAAGTAATGAGCTTTATGTTATCATTTTTATTATAACTTTTTAAAACTTTAACCAGGGTAGTTCAATGCTTTCCTCTTCAGGAACTCCCACTACACACACTGTTATAGTAAAAGACTGATATAAAAAAAATCCAAAGACAGATTATAGTTGGTACTCATGATAATATTTTACTGTCATTGTTAAAACACAATCCACTGACAGTCAAAGAAGTTGTGAACTGGTTAATAAAGCTGTATAAATATTGTCCTCATGTAATAAAGAGTCAGTGAGTTAACATGAAATGAACAGCAGCGGCAGACAGATTTGATCTCTCCTCTACAGATGGACTTCAGTGAGAGGCCATAGTGGAGTGGATCCAGTCAGTGAACTGGCAGACCTGTGGAGAATAATTTAATATCGCAAATGAGAGGAGATTCACCTGGTGTGGTTTAGAAATGATTGTGACACATGCAAGAAGAGTGTTGAAAGTCAGAGAGGACACATTGGCTACTTTAGGATGTTGCTCTCGGATAAATATTTATATATAAATCAGGTATAATTAAGATCAAAGATTTGAAGATACTTTCCTCAGATATTAAATTTTGAGTCAAAATTACCTTCAGGTATGACTCATTATGACACAACAGAGCTGAGCTTTGCAAAGGTTAGTTATCAGTTAAGGCTCTCACTGCAGTACAGGAGTTTAAAGTTCAGTTTAAATAATGGCATATAACCATCTGAACAACAATTCAATACATGATTCATTTCACAAAGCATGACACATACTCACAAAATCCTCAAGAGATGGCAGTAAATAATGTCACCTTCAGAAGTGTTGTACTTAGTTCTACTTCTGAACTAACAAAATGTCTGTGCAGGTTGGATCGTTTTAAATTTGTTAAAAGCTAAAGTAGTTACTTTTTACACAGACAACTTGAGTGCACCCACCTTGGCATAGACACCAGGACGATTCTCTTCAGCACAGCCCCATCCCCAGGACACTACACCCTGGAGCTCTCCATTACACACCAGAGGGCCGCCAGAATCCCCCTGATGGAGAGAATGAAAAGAAAAAGCACTGTGTTAAACAATCACAACACTATTACAAAAATGTAATGAGAGTAATAGTTATGGTAAAAAGATGTAACAAAAAAGGAAGCAAAAAGATAAATATTGAGAGTGATGTTATGTCTTGTTATAATCACAAAATCTATCTGGTTACAGTTCATTTTTGACTGTGCGGACCTCCAAGCTCAAGAATGTATATGTGTTGAAATTCAGAGCACCTCCTCCTTCATTTCTTCTTCTGTGGTCTCTACTATAAATCTCTTCCACCCCTTCTTCTTTCCCATGCTGTCTGAGGGAGGTGGGTGCTATTTCCTCTGGTGCTCTGGCCCATTAATGATCCTTATCCGACTCATTATTTCTTGTACTTAATGTCTGTCACAGCCTTTAGACACAGTGATTTCAACACACTGACACTTAAACATAGCTGTTTTGACGGTGAGTGCTGCTAGCTTAAAGCTCACTTCTGTTTTGTGTATTTTATGTGTGTAAGAGCTGGAGCAGGCAGGACAAAGGTTATATAAAGGTTCTGTTTTCAGTTTTGTTTGTCCTGTATTTTACTGTATATTAATATGTTATTCCATTGCTAACAATTTGCTGTGGCTGCCCTTCTGTACAATCCCTCTGTGGGAGGGAAACCCAATCACCAAACAAATGTTGGCACTGTACGTTTCTGCAAACCATAGATAGATTACATTTGTGCATTATTATGTAGTAAATCCACTGAAACTTTACTTTTATGACATTTCAACAGCACTGTGGTGACCATGGGGTTACGTTTCGGCACAAAAACTTGCATATGGTTTTGTGCTTTTAATTTTGGCTTAAAAACCCTGGATTTGGGGGTACCTACCCGGCATTAAACACAGCGATGTCTCCGTAAAAAAAGACAACCACTTTTCATGGCACTGTCCAGAGGGTAGATTAAAAAAAGTGCGGGGGCTAAAAACAGCTGGAAAAACAGCGTTGGTTTGCTACAGCACAACTGGTTTTGTTGTTTGTTGGTCTACAACAGCTCCTGGTAACAGAATCAGCTTAAATACTACATCATTCTAGAAATGTTGATATGATACCTATTGGATGTGCAAATGTAACATATTCATGGTTTGCAGAAATGTACAATGCCAACATTTTTTTCTGGTGACTGGGCTGGGGAGCGGAGCTGGAGTGGGGAGTATAACTGGGTTGGAGGTTCTGTTCCCCATTTTGTTTGTCAGAATGGACTAAGGTGAACCATAAGGAGATCTCAGTGTCACGGCACGTCTCTCATTTGTCCAATACAATGCAGAAGTCCACCGGTTACATACAGACACATAGGCCTATGTAAGAAGATGAAAACATGACCCCACACAAAATCTATGAAATTGAATGAAAAAGATGCATTTTGTGACATGTAACTGAATTAAAACAAAAATCTAATTGACCGATTGTCTTACATGTATTTGTCTTGTCTATATATTTCTGCTGTCATGTACCTGGCAGGAGTCCTTTCCTCCCTCCAGGAAGCCAGCGCAGAACATAGAGGAGGTGATCCTGTTGGGGTAGGAGCGCTCACAGTCCTCCTGAGGCAGGATGGGCAGATCCAGACAGTGCAGGCATTTCAAACAACCGACTGGATCACACAAACAGAATCAAGAGAGACATTTTAACTGGGCTCATCATCTTGACCCCTGCAGTCTGATCTCTGACCTGTGAATATAATGATGATGATAAAACTCTTCTCAGGTAATACACTCTTCTGTGATCCCAGACTTACAGGGGCTCTGGGTGGCTCCCCATCCAGAGACCAGACACTGGGTGCCTGCGGGGGCACAGCTGCGGGGCAGAGCGATGGGTTTGACGTACTGATTGATCTCCGCTGGCTCAGCAAGTTTGATCAGCATGATGTCATTGTTGATGGTGTAACGGTCGTACTCTGGGTGGGGGATGATGACGGCAGGAGCGATGAACTGCTCGGGGCCATCCTTGTAGCCGATGTGGTGCTCACCCAGACGCAGCTCAATATCCTCACCCCTGAGAGGCGGAATGGAAACATGGAGAGAGATGATTAGAACAAAAGTCATTTGAAAGTATGATGCGTTAGGAATAAATCAGTCCTGAACTTACTTATAGCAGTGTGCAGCAGTGACGACCCAGCGGTCATTGATCAGGGTTCCTCCGCAGTAGTGCCAGCCGTTGTTGAGTGACACCTGCCAGGGGACGGAGTGGTCCCTGCACTCGTAGCCGCCTACGATCTTATCGTCAAAGCCCAGGGCAGCTGTGCAGGTGGCAGCAAGAGAGGAGAAGGCACAGACACAGAACAAGTGTGTGAAATAATCAGAACACCCCTGTCAAGTGTTTTTTTGCTTGTTATTTGAATCACATATAAAGATTCTCATGGTCTGGCAAAGGTCATGACCCTGAAATATTACCATACACTTTGGAAGATGTGTAAAAATGAGCAAACAAAAGAAAACTTCTATTCCAAACTCTTGAGAAAGTCCCTTTTAATCTATCTGGCAAAAGTGCAAAGGCTTTATTTCCACTCAGACTTACCACTGGTGCCCACCAACACGAGAAAAGCAAAGAGCAACATAATGGCTGTGGTTTGGTTCGTCTGCAGACAGGAAGGTATCTCACTTTGCACCTCAAATTTAAAGTGTGTTTGCCCCCACCCCCCACGTTAACATCACTGACAGCTGATAGTGAGGAGGGACCAACAGAAGATGCTGAAGAAGAAACACGTCAAAAACATTACATGGGAACTCCGACAACTGTGACAGTGCAAACACTTAAGCCTTCATGAGGGATGGGAAATGTCAAGCTGTGTAAAATAACTTCTATTCAGACGTTACTCTGCCAGTGGGGTTAAGTGTTATAATGTTTGGGTTTGGAATGTGTTGCAATGTTATTCTACCAGTTATATAACCTGCAATACAAGTTTGTGTACAGTAATAATAGCAGTCGTCTATCCATGAAAACCCAAATAAACGTGTGTTTCTACACAACACATGCTAACACAACCACAATATATGAAATGGCTGATAAAATTACATTTCTGATTGTTACACATAATCTTAAGAGGGTCATGAGGTTTATCATATGGCTGCACGGTACAGGTTGTGCTAACAGACGAGGTAACACTCTGCTCAGACCAGTCCTGGTTAATAATAATATGTCCAGAAGCTTCAAATAAGCACAGGCAATCTTTGCAGCTTTGATTTAATTCAAACTTTAAATATAACAACACAGTGTTAAATATTTATATGAACAAATATTAAGAATTAATTTACAGTATAACAAGTTGCTTTCATAACTCACATCCACATACTGCTGGTAAACACAAGGTAAAGGCCTCTTTATGGATCGGTTGTAAACACTTCACATACTGGATAAACCAGATCATATAATTAATGCAATAATAATAATAACAATAACAATAATATACAGTGCATCTCAAATTTTTTCCATGTGCAAGTACACCTTTAATCCTGATCAGTTTGTGCACTAATGTAGGGAAAGCTTTTCTTCATACTCTTCAGCAGCACTTTAAAGTCATAATCTTGAAGATCTGTATTTAAATAAATGTCTGTTAAGTCAGTTCTCAACCTGGGGTCCTTGAGGGAGTTTCAGAGGGTCCCCAGAAATAGCTTATTTTCACTATTTAATTCACTACAGAAGTGAGCCCAATGAAAGTAAGAGTCATAACAATGACTATTCTGATTGTAGGTTTCACCTCCTCCACAGTTACCTCCTCAAATGTAGATGACAACTATAGAATTCTGGGCTTAATCTTATCCAACGAAACAAAATCTTATCAAAAAAGGGTCCATGACCTGATGTGTCAATTTAAGGGCCCTTGACATGTAAAAGGTTGACAGCCACAGTGTTAGGTCTCTATCTATTGTTGAATGAGGTAACACAATGGCACGCTGATGGGCGGCCTCACATTTGCAGTAATATGAACTGGGTATTTGTGGTGTCACTCCCAGGAAAAATCACTATCTCTAGCACACACCAAAACATACACACACTGTGCTGTGGTGACCCTTTCATCTTGCCAGCTGCAGGGCTTGTAAAACAAGCTGATACAAAGAATTCACCTTTCTGGTTACAAGCTTTCAGGCCTTTACACACCGGGGACGTTTCTTTTGTGCAATTATGAGGAATGAAGTCAATTTTTCTGAGCTTCTAAACAGCGACTTAAGGCATCTGTACTTATGAGGATTAGCAAACAACAACAAGGACACTCTGTAGTCCGAACCGTGATGGCAAACTTCACTGCTCCCTTCAACCTCGACAAAGGCAGCCCATAGAGTGCTGCAGGGACGACGGGTTTTTGTAAGATGACGAGGACGTTAGTGTTGCCCTGTTTCCCTCATCAAAAAGTCACTGGGATTTTTCATTGGATTTTGGATTATTGCAGAAAATGAGCTCTGTGGCAAACAAAATTTTATGATACTTTTACGTTTTTTTCAGCAAGATGATCTTCACAAATGAACTTTTATGGTTTTTGAAGTGAAAATGCAATCACCGTTAGGTTAAACAGAACTACAATACAGTTGCATGATTTTTTTTTTTTTAAGATATGTTTTGGGGCATTCAGGCGAGACTGTAAAGCGGCATTCAGTGTGATGTCGCTCTGTAGTCTCATTTAGACACGGTCAATTTTATCACACCTGAAGGCCTAAAATTCACATCAGGCATCTAACCAGAAACCCATTCAAAAAACCACCTGACTTTGAGATGAGGGAACCATGAGTCGGGTAAAATGCTCACTTATTTTCGGGTTTTAGGACTCTTTCCTGCAGCACTCAATACCAGATACACCTTCTCTGCTCTCACCTTTCACAATAAAAGCTCCAGATATATACACTGTGTCACTCTTTACCAGGAGGAACTCAAATTCACTCAGAGCAACTCGCTTAAAGGAAACTCAATAAATAGCATATAGTAACTTATAGACTATACAGCAACTTACAGTACAGACCGCCAGACGCTGCTCTGGGTCAACAGATCCTGGCAGTTGTCACATTCCCATCGCACCAGCGAATATATTCACATCAAAAGCTTTAATTAAACAAGTGTCGCAAATTTGCATCATTGCAGGTATGAATAGTTTTTTTTTTCCATCACACCCCTGGTGTGTAAAGGCCCTTAGTCTGCAAACAAACACACTGTAGTTAGCACTTATCTCCACAACTGACCGAAGCAGAGATCTTCAAAACTGCAACTTTAAATTCAAGGCACGACAGCTCCCATTACTGATATCTCTTAGTTAAGAAATTACTGCAAGGGCTGGTTATGGTGAAGTTTCTGTCAGTCTGTAATATTCTCAATGTGCATTTGATCTGAATCTTGAACATGTAAATCTTGTTAGAAAAATACTTGGGTTATATCCTCTTTTGTCATAGTGTAGGATGATGTTAAAGCTGGTTATTGAAGGTTTTAGAGGCTCTCTTGATCATTGTCGCCTACAGAAAATGTGCAGCGTCCCTAAGCCTCTTCTAGTTTTACAGTTTTTGTTGCGTTCTCATAATTCTCTTTGACTTGTTTCCTTTTCTATTTTATTTATTTTATATTTATTGCATCTCCCACATCAGATGTCGTTTTCTTTCATGAGCAACAAAGTCCCATGAATGACACGATAAATCAGCTGGATGGATTGCTACTCTGACAAGTCTCTTCGCTTCTTTGCTTTGGACGTTTGCGAAGAGCAGGCGTCCCATTTTCTCGCTGAAAAATCTTCCTCATTTGCTCCACACAGATCGATGCAGCGACCTCTGTCTCCTTGGCAAGCTGTGATAGGCTGAGGAAGCCATGAGGCAGGTCCTCCACCACCGTCAGGCTCACAGGCTGGCCCATGTCTCGCAGCTTTTTGGCAAACATCACAGAGTCATCCAGCAAGGCATCCAGAGCAGAGGCCTGTGAGACACAAGGACGAACCAGGAGCAAGGACTTAAAAAAACTTCTACTGATATATCTGCAATAAGCTAATATCAATTAAGTCATTATTATTGGTTACGTTAATCAGCCTATGACGCCAGCACAGATATGCTGTTGTCATTTTATACAAATCTAAAAGCCTGGATCCAGATCTCAGAATTGATGCCCACATATCAGATTGATTCAGCGATTCAAACTCAATCAATTAAAAGAAAATGGCATCTGATCCTGATTGTCAGGGTAATAATCTTACTTATTGCCCCTATAATTTCATCATGAACTTTGGAAATTTATAAGAAATCTAAACTGTTGCCCGTTCAACCTCCCTCAGTTCCTCTTCCCTCTCTTACCACTATGTGTACAGGCGGCAGGCCTCTCAGCAGGTTGTTTGGAGCCAGCAGGGGCGACACAAATGGGTTCTTTATAATGGGGCATGAAGTTGGGCTAATGACAGCCAGGCACTCGGAGCGCAGAGGCTCAAATCCGTCCGGGTAATCCACCTGACTTCCACAGTTTGGTGTGGAGGTGTGAGTGGATGTCCTCTGAGTTTCGTTGCTCTGAGACTTCCTCTGCATCAATGACAGTGAGCGTGCTCCACCTGGAGCCCGCATGGGCTCCAGAAAGGACTGGATCCAGTTGGAGGCTCCCTGGGTGAGATCATTGAGCAGCACAGCAGTGTCTCTGCCCAGAGCACTCAGACTGCCGCTTCCAAATGCAGGCCGCACCGTCTGACAGTCTATACCTGGAGAGAGATGATGGGATGTTGAGTGAGGGATGAAATGCATCAGAAAAAAGACACCTGAAAGGAAAAAGGCAAGATAAATGTGTCTCTTGAGGATGTAATTGTGGCTTTTGTATGTTCTAAGTTTTTCTGTTCTTACTGTAGATGCCTCAAGCACAGATGGTTTTAGATGTGCTGTATCAGTTTAATTTTGTCGTTAGTCACAGAGGCAAAGGATAATTTACAGCCTGAATGGGTGAAGATGGTGAAATATCAGTGGCTATGAAAGAGTTTAAAGAAATAAACTGAAAAGAAGAAAGCAGAGTGAAAAATTGAAAACAGTTTCTACTTTAATGTCCTTCAAGGGAGCTCGGCAATAAATCCTGATGATTACTTTCTCCTCCTATACAGTATATACACAGTTCACAAGGCAACGAGATGCTGTCATTACTTGAGCTGTCACCATTCAAGCTGTGTTCATACAGAGGCTTCTGGCCCTGTGGTCAAGGAGCTTCTATTTTGTCACTGAACATAATGTCTTATTTTATAAAGGATTCATCATTTGAAGAGTGTACAGTATAACAAGTTACTTTTATAGCTACATGGAGCTAGTCATTATGTGAGGGTCACATTATCAGGCAATACAGAATAGGGATTGGCTATATAACAGCATATACTGTGAGACGGTAGAAATGTGGCCATTGGTAAAGATTATTCAATACCATTTCTACTCCAGGAGCTAATAAGGGCAGGCTATGTAGCAAATCGGGGACACATTTAATATGAAAACGGTGTGCACTGTTTTGCTACAGCTCCATGTTTCATTGAAACAGTGTGAATGATGTCCAGCAGGCTTTAAGGTATGTTTTCTTTGGTTTGGTGGCTGTGTGAAAGGTGTCAGCCAATCAGCAGCGACATGTACTATATAATTCAAATTCAGGTGGATCTTGTGTACATACAGTTTTTGTTTTTATTTCACACTTGCTTTGGCAATGTAAACACATATTTCCCATGCCAATAAAGTCCCTTTGAAGTGAACTGAATAAAACCCCACCTGCAGTGCGGTTGCATAACACAACAGGGTGCTCAACACATCATTGTTCCTGTTTAAATAAACGTTTTGCTACATTTTGTCATGATCTTAAGTTTCTCATGTGATCTCGTGAATCAAGCTACCTCGCCAAGTAACAGGATTTGAGCAGATATAGAGGAAGAGATTCAAGTTGTAAATACAGAAACCTGTAACAGTTGAAGTAATTGTTGTCAGGAACCTTAAAGCTCCCACTTTGAAAGACTTTTAGCGTCCCTATCATTGAGTCTTTTGTTTTTTACCGAAGTGTTTTCTTGTTTGTATAAAAGGTCCAAATGAAATTAGAAAATAAATGTGATGAAGCAGTTATTTAAAACAATTTGTTAGCTGAATTCACGATTACTGTATCACGATATATGCTGTTACAATAATATAAAATTACACATACAGTGATGGAAGATTTTGGCCATAACGGCCACCCCTATTGCAGGACATTTAGACCAAATACAGAAATCTATCCACATTGATTTTTCTGCAAATGTTAAACCAAAATCCTATTAACTTGCAGTAGGAAACAAAGCACTCTCTAATACACTATGACAGTAGGTTCACTGAGTGCATTTGATCTCCAACACCTGAGATAGGAGTTAAGGAGTCACTGGCTCCAGGCTATCAAGGCGTCAAAAATATATATGCTAAACAATGTCTCACCACTCAAACTACTGGTTTGTGTCTCTCTATTCCAGAGAGATATTTCCCTAAATAAAATTTTGTTGTTCTGTTCATGTAGTCAAAGAGCTCAGAGACAGACATATCAGACATATCAGAGCTGTCCAGTGTTTACAGCGGTTTATGGTCAGACCCGCCAAACCTTTAAACCAACATGGAACTGCAAAGTCAGATGATGGGATAACAGAGACTTCGTATTTAGCGCAGGAGTGATTATTGGTTTCACAGTCTACATGACAGCAGGTTGTTATTCGTTTTCATCTTCCTTTCCTCCCACATCATGTGGTTTATACACAATCCATCTGAGATTTGTTTTCCGTTCCAGTGGCGCCACAAAGTGCTCTTGTGTTAAATGATGCGTGAAACAGCACACGCCTACAGTAATGCTGTACGCTCACATACCTGCATAGGCATTGACGCACTTTGCGAGAACACCTAGAGGCAACAGCGGGTCGATGAGTGTGAGCAGGCGGGAGGGCGAGGCGTCAGTGGTGAGCAAGGTGGCGGGGTAGGCAGCCATGATGCCGTCGGGGACTCGAATGCCGCTGGTTATAGCCTTCATGGACACAGTGATGCAGAGATTTCCTCCTGCACTGTCACCAGCCAGACATACCCGCTCTGCTGTGGAGCCTGAGACACACAGACAGAACTTTAAATAATTATGACAATTTCAACTAATTTAATAAAGAACAGAGATTTTATAGCAAGATGTCTGACAAATGTTTTTATCAAAAGGAATTTAAATGTGTGCTGAAATTTTAGGATTTCCTGCTTTTCCATGTGTTTAATCAGTGTAAAATGAATGTCCTTAAATTAGGGACAGTTGGTTGGACAAAACAAGCAATCTGAAGATGTTTGGGCATTTGAGACATTTTACAAAGAAAACAATGGCTTAAAACATAATTAATAGATACATATAAAATAAAAATAATCATTAGTTGCAGCTCTAATACGATTAAACCTTTAATCCTATCACTTTTTCTACCTTGTCTGCATGTGACTGCATGTGGTAGACTCAAAAGGCGCTAGACAAGTGCAAATCTCTCCATTTACCATATGACGCATTCCCTGTTCTGATAACGCACAGATAACAATTCACATGCCATATTTCAGCACATAATGTGCCTCTCCTCCTGGGGGAAAACCAGTCATGCCACATATGAAACTGGCACATTTTGTACACGTTATCTACATCTGCAAAGAGAATACGAGGACAGTGTATAAATTCTCTATTGCTCTCTGTACAAAAAGCCATCTGCAGAGCTGCTTGTGTGAATATATTAGCACTGACATTTGCATTTACAATCCACACTTTCAGTTATATTTACACACACATTAATTTGCGTATATTTAAAGAAAATCCTCTCATATCAGGGCAGTTGTTTATGCATCTTTTATATCTTAGGTTTCTTATCTTTTATTTTAGGAAAAAAAGTCTCTTCCTTTAACAAATCCAAGGCAGGTGCCAAAAATCAATTCCCATTCTGATAAATATACAGTTACTGACAATGACTTTATGTTCAACATATATCGACAGATTTACATATTGATCTGTTAAAATGAAAGTCATGAATTCTCCCTGTTGGTTCACGTTAGTCGTGTGGTGTCTGAGTGTGATGCTGTACACATACCCAGCAGGTGACAGTTGTTCAGAGCCCAGCAGTAGGCGTAGAAACACTCCTCCAGAGCTCTGGGAAAGGGTGCTTCAGGCGACAGAGAGTAGTCCACGGAGAGGACAGGTACGTTCAGCTCCTTTGACCAATTCCGCAGATAATTCTGATCGATAAGAGGGTGGATAGAAAGCAGGATTAATAAATAAATAAATAATGCTTATTGTCATTTCATATATACATTATGAAACACTTTGTGGGATTGAAAGATCTGGTGCTAAATATACTATTACTATAAAGGAATTAAGAGTGAAAGCACTCGTATTAACTACATGATAACTTTAAGAGACATCTAAAACAGATTAAGCTACAGCTAACACCAGCAGTGTGGGTGCAATACCTCATGGGATTTGGAGGTCTGGGCCACAAAGCCACCTCCATGGAAGTGGATGAGCAGCCAGGGGGAGCGAGGCTGCTTCTGTACCCAGGGCAGATGGGCTGCGGAGATCGGGGGAGGATCGGTTCGAGATAAAGCTAGCAGCTCCTCACTCTCCTGAAAAGTTGGACGATAAGTCAAAATGTAATTAATAAGAAAGGACCAAGAAAATAATGATGAAGAAAATAAGAAAATACAGGCAGAGTCTCTGCGGAAAAATACACCACCACACACTTCTAGTGGTTCATAACTGATTATTGAGAGGGATTGCTTAATTTTATATGAGTACAGTACAGGCCAAAAGTTTGGACACACCTTCTCATTCAATGCGTTTTCTTTATTTTCATGACTATTTACATTGTAGATTCTCACTGAAGGCATCAAAACTATGAATGAACACATGTGGAGTTATGTACTTAACAAAAAAAGGTGAAATAACTGAAAACATGTTTTATATTCTAGTTTCTTCAAAATAGCCACCCTTTGCTCTGATTACTGCTTTGCACACTCTTGGCATTCTCTCCATGAGCTTCAAGAGGTAGTCACCTGAAATGGTTTCCACTTCACAGGTGTGCCTTATCAGGGTTAATTAGTGGAATTTCTTGCTTTATCAATGGGGTTGGGACCATCAGTTGTGTTGTGCAGAAGTCAGGTTAATACACAGCCGACAGCCCTATTGGACAACTGTTAAAATTCATATTATGGCAAGAACCAATCAGCTAACTAAAGAAAGCCGAGTGGCCATCATTACTTTAAGAAATGAAGGTCAGTCAGTCCGGAAAATTGCAAAAACTTTAAATGTGTCCCCAAGTGGAGTCGCAAAAACCATCAAGCGCTACAACCAAACTGGCACACATGAGGACCGACCCAGGAAAGGAAGACCAAGAGTCACCTCTGCTTCTGAGGATAAGTTCATCCGAGTCACCAGCCTCAGAAATTGCAAGTTAACAGCAGCTCAGATCAGAGACCAGATGAATGCCACACAGAGTTCTAGCAGCAGACCCATCTCTAGAACAACTGTTAAGAGAAGACTGCGCGAATCAGGCCTTCATGGTCAAATAGCTGCTAGGAAACCACTGCTAAGGAGAGGCAACAAGCAGAAGAGATTTGTTTGGGCCAAGAAACACAAGGAATGGACATTAGACCAGTGGAAATCTGTGCTTTGGTCTGATGAGTCCAAATTTGAGATCTTTGGTTCCAACCGCCGTGTCTTTGTGAGACGCAGAAAAGGTGAACGGATGGATTCCACATGCCTGGTTCCCACTGTGAAGCATGGAGGAGGAGGTGTGATGGTGTGGGGGTGTTTTGCTGGTGACACTGTTGGGGATTTATTCAAAATTGAAGGCACACTGAACCAGCATGGCTACCACAGCATCCTGCAGCGACATGCCATCCCATCCGGTTTGCGTTTAGTTGGATGATCATTTATTTTTCAACAGGACAATGACCCCAAACACACCTCCAGGCTGTGTAAGGGCTATTTGACCAAGAAGGAGAGTGATGGAGTGCTGCGGCAGATGACCTGGCCTCCACAGTCACCGGACCTGAACCCAATCCAGATGGTTTGGGGTGAGCTGGACCGCAGAGTGAAGGCAAAGGGGCCAACAAGTGCTAAACACCTCTGGGAACTCCTTCAAGACTGTTGGAAAACCATTTCAGGTGACTACCTCTTGAAGCTCATGGAGAGAATGCCAAGAGTGTGCAAAGCAGTAATCAGAGCAAAGGGTGGCTATTTTGAAGAAACTAGAATATAAAACATGTTTTCAGTTATTTCACCTTTTTTTGTTAAGTACATAACTCCACGTGTTCATTCATAGTTTTGATGCCTTCAGTGAGAATCTACAATGTAAATAGTCATGAAAATAAAGAAAACGCATTGAATGAGAAGGTGTGTCCAAACTTTTGGCCTGTACTGTATATATATAGTAGTTAATGCATACAATGCTAATACATCAATTGGGGCCTACTTGTACATTCATTTGTACAGTCATATGTGTTAAATCTCTCACGCAACTGATTGACTGATTGATTGCAAATTTGGAAATTTTTGAGACTTTTTATAACAAGATATAAAGGGAGATCTCTTTGTCAAAATCAGATTACATATAAGCAGATTTCATCACAGGGTGGACAAAAAGATACAGGAAGTTCATGCACAAACGTCTGAACCTCATCACAATGGATTAAAGGTCAAATGTCATTGCTCCATCTAGAACTATGTCTGGTCCTCATCCCTGTATTACACCTGCGGAGCCTCACCTGTCCTTCTCGAAGCTCATGTGAGATCAGACGCATGTGGACTGGCCCGGGGCCCCAGTGGGCTATTGGAGGTGACACGGTGGCTGTCAGATTGGGGTCTGAGGCCAGTGGGAGGCGCAGCGTGACAGGAGGCACAGTCAGGGTGAAGTTCACCTGCACTGGGCAAGAGGCTATTCTGTTGAAGCCCTGTGCAGAGAAAGACATGCAAGGGATTGAGCAGTTAAAAGATTAAATAGGACTTAAGCTAATTTGAGAGCTTGTGAAAGAGTAATTGACCCTGCCTACTGTTATAAGGCCGGACTCTGTGAGGTTCCAGAAGGACTTCCAGAACTGCATGTCCAGGTTCTGGGTGATGCGTTCAAACTCAGCACCTCGAAGCTCTGGATCGATGACGTATTTCCCTGATGTGAGAAGGGAAAGGGCAGCTAAACCTGGAAGAGGAGGGATGATTTTAAAATGAACACATCTGAAAGACCACAACAGTACCATAACATCATGGACAAAACCAGACAAAGACAAAAGAAGAAGACTAACCAAAACCAGACTGGTGCTTTCCATATGTCTCTCCATATGAAACCATGCTTATGACAACGGTCTGAAGAAACGGACGTAGAGTTGGCGAGTACTGTGAAAGGAAACAATTGACAGTTATTAATGGGAGCACAAATATAAATCAGAATCTGACAAAATCAGAATACTGGTTATTGCAGGTTATTTGGGATATGATGTTTGACTACATATGGTGACTGGACAAGAAGTGTTCAGAATAATCAACAGGCTTGTATCCAAGTTACATGAATCACATTTTGGTGATAAAGCAAGTTTAGAGCGCTAAAAATTGGACAAGTTGTATGAAATAAGTAAATTCTACTGGCTGACCTGAAAGCCCAGACAGCGGCCATAGAAACAAGCTTTGTGCATGGAGCTGTACTCCTGCACAAACCTGTTGCTCAGGTCCCCGTCCTGCAGGGAGTACAGCTGGCCGTAGTCATTGTCATTGATCAGCTGCTGGGCGAGGTGGAGCAGGGCTCGCAGTTGGCACAGAGCGCTGCAGTACGCCTCCATCTCTGAGGCATTGTGCTCCGCCCTGAAGAAGGCACCGTTGTAATTAGAGGCAATGTAACGACCCTTGTGAATGATGTGCAAAAGGCAAGACAGCAAAACCTGAAAGAAAGAAACAAAAAATTAATGTAACTTCTGCTGGGAAGATAAAGATTCTGCATTTAAAAGACAAATCCAATGAAAAGACCAAAACTAGCAATGAATACTGAGTATAGTCTGAGCAGTCAAAGCTTGATATTGTGTAGCTTTCTCTGGCACAGAGCTCCATTGTTGTCCAAAAATTATTAAAAACAAAGAGCCACGCTGAGTGCCACAGACAGGGAAGAGACAAACTGACACATTGTTAGTTTTGGTCTTTTAATGAGATTTTCGTCCAAAAGAGAAACACAGAATAACACCAGTCTAAAGCCAGGCTCAGACTGTAGGAGTTTTAAAATCCGAACCAATTTTGAAGACGGGCTGCATTACACACATAGGGAGGAACTTCATGGATGTTCTGCTCTCTAATCTCAAACATGCACACACTACATCATGATTTAAAAAAAAAGGCGCATCACACAAGATATTATCAAGATTATCATACGAGAGGGAGACTGACTGCAACACTCTCTTGGTGTAATGTTAACAATGTTAACAAACCAGTCTGGATGAGAAAATGGTCCACATGGGTTGTGTATTTTTCAGCGAGAACTGGAGGTGAGATTTCAACTGTCATTTTCAACGTCTGTCAACAGAAGTGTGCTAGCAAATGTTAGCCTCACGGGCTAAAATAATTACCACTGCTTGGCAACACTGTCAGCTGCTCCACACTGATGTAATTATAACTGTAATCATCCAGATTTTAAAATCCTAAATATCAAACATGTTTGAAATTCTTGAGGTGGTCCTAATAAGCCTGTGAGCAGTTGGAGAGATTTAAAACCAAATCTGCAAAAACTCTCACACCACCAGATAATCTAGGCCAAACATTGGTACCGACCAAGGTCCCAGACTGGATTGAATCTTGGATAAATCGGCCCAAATCCCCTCTAGTCTGAGCCTGCCAACAAAGTCAGTGAGATGGTTGCATTCATGTCACACTTCATTTGACATTATGTGCTGACTACAGGACTTGAAGGTGCTGAAAAAAAATCTAATTTCACATGTTCAAAAAGATGCTTTGATTTGAAGGAGTAATTTTACTTTTTTTTTATTTTTATCTTTAAAATAACTGAATTTGGTGTTTTGATATCTGACCATTTGATTGTCTACATAGGAAAGGTTCAGTAAAAGATCACCTTTAAATGAGTTGTTTCCTTCAACATGCAACATGTCTGTATCAATTTTACCACGGCTGCAGGTAATAGTTATTGTCATTATTGACTAATCTGCTGATAATTTTCTCAGTTAATCAGTAAACATTTGTCGATACAAAGTCACAAAACAGTGAAAAATGCCCTGTGTAAATTCCAACAGCCAAAGGTGATACCGTCAATTAGTGTTTTACCATACTGACAGTCCAAAAATCCAAAGCTACTCAGTTTATCACAATGTATGACAGAGAAAAGCCTTAAATTCTCACATTGACAAAGCAGGAAACCAGAACATGTTACTGTCAAATGATCTACAAATTTTTGCAGCTCTATATTTTATTCTACACTGGAGCATGTCTTCACAAAACTGTCAAACTATAAAATGCCTTACATGATCTGTATCAATACTTGTTTTTCATTTAAAAGTTTGGCATAATAGGAAAAAAAGAGAAATATTCAAGTTTAACTATTGAGATTCTGAAGAAATGAAAATACAGCATTAAATCACCCACCACAAAACGCATGAAGATGCAGTTAAGTGTTTAAGTAATTTTTTTTAAGCAAACATATCTAACATTTGGTAGTTGCCATTTCCCCTGTGTGAATATTTGCTGACTTTTTTATTCTTCTACTATAATAAGCTGAACTGTTTTGAGCTTCGAACTGTTGATCAAAATAATTTGGTGTGTCAGCTTTGGTTTTAACATTACATCATTCAATATATTCTGACATAAACCAAATGAATGGTAGATTAACAAAGAAAACAATTGATAACAAAAATAATCTGAAAATGTTATAATGATTTAAATGTTAGATGTAACACCTTTAAAACTCGGGCAGCCTCTAGCTCAGCAAGTATTCGCCCCATGTAGACTGAGTCCCTTGCAGTAGCCTGGGTTCAATACTGACCTGTGGCCCTTTGCTGTCACTCCCTGGCAATAAGGCAACAAAAGCCCCCCCAAAAATTTTTAAAACACTGCTGTCAACAAACTACAAGCTAAAATACACTTGTTTTTTTGTGTAACTCAATGTATAAAACAAAACAATCACAGCTTAAATATCAGTAGTGAGTGGAAACTCTTCCACTCAATGGGACGAGTCATACCTTGACCAGGGTGCGGTAGCCATTCCCAGGCGTTTGGGCGTCAAAGTCATAATGATGGAAGACAGTGGTGAAGCTGGCAATCACAGGCTCCAAGGCTCGGCTGTGCTCCTGAATCTGTCTCAAACATGTGACCAGGCGCTTGGCAACAGCACCGTACGCCGAATCAGAAGGCCCACACATAATGGCAATGTTTTCTTCACATACTGTCTCCAAGGTTGCGAACACAACCTTGTAATCCATATCTGAGGCTGGGAGAGAGAGAGAGAGAGATACAAGAGAATCATTCTTCAACCCCCTTTATATCTGCCTCCGTAGCTAACAACACAGCAAACATGTGATGTGCACCGTAAAGCTTAAAGAGCGTCACCCAAAGAGTCAACACACAGATCTTAATGATCTCATCGCAACACTTATTGCTTTTGATGATTGTAGTGTTGTTATCTGCGTGGTCAAGGGTTGAAGTTCCACTAAAGCTTGAGGACACTTCTTTAAAATAAGGTCAGCTAAGAGTAGCTGAGGGTGATAGCATCAAGCACCGGAGACGATTTTAATCACAACAAAAACCAAGAGATCCAGAAGGGGCATAAACTCTAGGCTTCTGTACATGTGATTCCTCCTTTATGTCGATAAAAACACACAAAAAAGATGTAATGACTGGATGTCTTACTCAAAAAATATTGAAAACTTGTACATCAAGAGTCTGCTCCCTGTTCTCAGTAACTGACAAAGACTGAACATGAATAAACACATCATGTGCACTTTTTTAATTTGCATGTACTGCACATACCACCATGCAAATCAGCAAGCTAACAGGGATGAGCTCTAACTCATCTACTTGAACTTGATCAAACCTGGCAGAGAGACTGCATGTAAAATACAGAGGCAACGACAGGCTGGGATCAGTGTTTTATTTCCCCATCATTAGGGCTTAAATGGCATCTTTTATATTGAATTTTACTACATCCTTGGAATAACATTAGTCATACATGTTACCAAGTTACATTGAAGCCATTATATTTATGTTCGTGTGAACTCTAAACATGTTATGCAGTGTGGCTTTAAATGCTATAAAATGTGGAAGATGTCAACTCTGTCAACAGCAGACGTCAGCGTACATAGCCTGGAGCAAAAACTGAAATCAGGACATTATTCATGAACACTGGATGCTTTATTCCATTTTTGTACATGCTTGATTGTATTTTTTTATTCCTGCTTAACAGTCAGTGTCTCAGTCAGCAGCGTTTTTAGGCTTATGACAACAACAATACATCAGCCATGTCACTACATGTTCTTTGAGCCATCTGCATTAAACATCAGATACTGATCAGGGCTGGGAAATATGGAGAAAATCATATCATAATATTTTTGAAAAAACACCTCAACCATACTGAAGGGTTGTCTATTAGTGTTTTCACAAAATATCTGGGCAATGAGGTTTTTCCTCCTCCTCCTCCTCCTCCTCCTCCTCCTCCTCTTCCTTTATGACCTGCAGATATCTAGACTCATATCACAGTATCAATATAATATCGATATAAAGCCCACATTTTCATGCCACAAGTATCCACTAGTATGCATTTTAACACAAGCTGGGCTGTAGCCAGGACCAGACACCAACAAGATATCATATAAATGTCTTTAAATGCTCAGTTGTTTTATCTGATAATTGTATCTCCCATGTGATGAATACAAATACTGTGTATACTGTAGCATATCTATGTATCCCTTACTCTTTATTTACATTTATTAACATTTTTTTTATATTGATTACATTACTGCTGACTGCAGTTTGTTGTTTCAATACATGTACTGCCCAATCACAATAAAAGTGAGTCAACAATTATCAGTCTAGGTGTCACAGAAGTCCACTATCAAGTTTCAATTTACAACATTTAAAGGGATAGTTTGGATTGGTACTTGTCCATAGATAGTGTATTACATTCAGTAGAAGTCAGTCGGCACACCCCGAGTTTGGAGAAGCAGGATGGAGTAGGACATGAAAGCTAGGCAATGTACAGCCATCTAAAAAACGTTCCACCTAAAAAAAAAATCTGTATCAGTTGAAGCGTACACTATATTGTGAGATTTTTACTGCTTTACCTTAATGTCAGACAGTGATTTCCAACTGGAAAATTAGGCCCTTAGGCTCTCTTCAAAGCCAGACTCCATTGAGAAAAACAGTGATTTAACATCACTGAACACAAGAGCTGCTGGTCTACTACTATCTCAATCACTTAGTTAGTTTGTTTTGTTGTATGACTTTGGTGTTTCAAAGGGTTAGTTCGGATTCACTAAAGTCACACAATTACGCTAACTAACTAACTGACTGAAGCAGTAGTAGACCAGCAGCTAAAATTGCTGTTTTTTTTCCAATGGTGGTTTTAACAAGAGCATTCATGGGGAACAGGCTGTCTGACGGAAAGGTAAAGTGGTAAATACTCTTAATATAGCATACATTTTAACTGAAATTGATTTTTTTAGGTGGCTGGAATATGTGTTGTTGCTGACCCCATCCACAGCAGTACATTGCTTAGCTTTCATGTCTGACTCCAGCCTGCTTTTCCAGACTGGGGGCGTGCCGACTGACATCTTCTGTAGGCTATGTAATACACTGACTATGGCTAAGTACCACATACAAGCACACAAAAAATCCAAACGATCTCTTTAAACTACAACTACATTGCTAATTAAATTAACGGTTTAGCCCGGTGTCCTTTTTACTTATTCAGTCCATGAGCTTTCAGTTTCTGTTTTGCATAACTCAGGACTTAATAATCATTGTGTTCCGCTGCTGAATCTCACCATTTACCCCAAATAAAAAGGCTGTGTTGTCCTCAAGCAGCTCCTTTGAACCACCGACAGCTGACAACTGACGTAGACCTGTCAACGGGCTCTCCTCTGTCACTGTCCAACACTGATATCAGTTTGCACCACAGATATCCGCTTCTCATGTTGTTAAAACGCCTCTCTCTCCAAGGATTAAGAGCGTTTTCAGCCTTGTTTCGCTAGCTTGTCTCCATTCCTTCACACAACCATTCCCACTGTAACAGTTACCGAGCACCGGTTAGCTACCGGTGACAACTTCACCCACAACACCACAAGTTGGAGGACTTTAAACTGTCGACCACCCTGTTGCTTCCCGTTTTAACAGCGACGTAACAACGTTAAAAACACAACGACATTGTTTAATATTAGTCGCTGACATCCAGTGCCGCCATAAAACGCTTTAAATGTACAAACAAGACAAATATGTGTACATGTATGTGTTTCATGACTCCACTCACCGAGCCGCATCCTCTTCCTTGATGTTTGTGTCAGACCGCCCGCAGAATGCTGGGTAACGTCATGTGGGTAAGGCGCGAGGCGCTGCGCGTGCACCGGCTAGGCTGTTAGCATGATGAATCAACAGGTAAGCTAGCACAGTGACAAGGAAGGAACAATGGTGGAAGCTAAGTATATTTACTCGACTCAAGTACAATTTGAAGTAATCAGACTTTACTTGAGTATTTTCTTTTCATTATACCTCATCTCCACCACTTTTTTGTTTTTACTTCACAACATTAATCTGACAGTTTAAGTTACTTTACAAATTCAGATATTTTTGCACACAAAACAAATGAAGAGTATATGTAAGGTTAAATTATAAATTAACTACGCAACAGTATATACAGTTGATGTCCTGTAAATAAGTAGACCCACATTTGCTCAAGTATTACACCAAAGTATTGTACAGGTAAGTTAGGAAGTTCACAAAAAAAAATACTGTAATTTTTATTTCAATAAAGACATCTTTAGTCACTTTACAAATTTAAAAAGAGTTTTTTGGGTAAACAAAGTAGCCTATGTTGTTTTAACTATAAATTATCCAAGGCTGTATACAGCTGGTGGAATACAACTAAGTAGGCCTACATTTGCTCAAGTATTGTCCTGAAATTAAATAAATGTGGCCAAAACAAAGAAAACCAAGTGATAGGGAGATTTGTAGAATCTGTGTGTAAATGTGTAATCTGTATAGATAAAGCAACTTCCACAAGTACAAAAATCATTTGTAAACACATGAATATTTTGCAAATATAAAAACGATCTGAAAATACACAAACAAATTTAAAAATATTAAAGAAAAAAAGACTCAGTGTGCATAAAATGCAAATCTGCAAGCATAAAATTGAGATTCACACACAAAAGATGGATTAGCAAATATCGGTTTTAAACTTGTAAATGTTAGGAAGATATACATACAATTGCTTGTCATATATTTGTAAATTAATTCAATGCAGTCACAGATATTTCTTATTTTTGGAATTTGTGTATTTGCAGATCCATTTTATATAATAGCCTAGTAAATTTGAACAGCTACAAAGATAGTTTGACTTTACAATTTTGTTTTTGTATTTGATAAACAAGGTCTATTTTTGGTACTATTTATGCACTCTGACAGTATTTATATTAAAAGTACAAAGTAAAATTCCTAGTGTGACCCATGGGCCGTAAGTTGGGTATCACTGTATACTGTATATTGCACATTGTAATGTTGTATCATGTTGTCTGTCTATCTATCTATCTATCTATCTATCTATCTACAGTGTTTAGAAAGCTGAAAGGATCATTAGAGGAAGCTAGAGCTACTAGACAAGTAGCAGTGATCACTGATGACACAAAGACAACTCTTGGGACAGCTGCGCACTATGGTAAAGAAACTAATACTTGAACTTAAACTAAGGTCAGCTTGCAAAGGACAAATAACATTACTTAACATTTAATACAACTCATGAGATCTGGCAGATATTTATCTCCAACTGGACATACTGAACAACAACAAACAAGGATTAACCCTACGGAAATGAAAAACAGGGACTGAAAACTTGATTACACAGAAAATTTCAGATATACTGAACATAATATGCATGACTTTGAACAAAATGTTGACCCTGAGACTAACTTTTTTTCAACGACCTAGACAACAGTTGCTGTTTTTATAAAGATCGACAGTTTAACATGAAGTTTAAGTCAGATCATGGAATGTCAATCATTTACATCAACATCAAAACAACAAGGAATATTTAAGTCAGTTCAGGAAACCATGTGTTGAAGCGATATCTGAAACCTCGCTCAACTTTTGAGTGGTGTTTTGATTTCGAATTAAATGGATATGAATTGATTTACATGAAAAGGGAAGACTGAAAGGGAGGGATGTGGCTCTGTATGTAGATACAGAGTATTGGATAGCATGTCAGCTACTATTGATGATGTGATGGAATGCGTTACCATAGAAATCTGTACCCTATGAAAAAAAAGAAAAATATAATTGTTACTTGTGTGGATTAGGGATGTTCCAACTGTAACTACTAATTTCCCTGATATTTAAACAGGAGTTCAAACCTAGACTAGTCGACACATCTCAAAGTAAGAAAGCACTCAATAAACAGTTAAAATCTAGCACTTTTTAATCTATAAGGTTAGACATTGTCTGAAAAATATTGCATTTAAGAGTCATTTGAAATCATCACATTTTTCAATAAACAAATTGTATTTTAAATGCTGCTGAAATGTGTGCAGTTTGCACTGTGCATTATGAACTTCGCACATTATCCTACAAAACATGACACCAACTCACTAAATAAAAAGCGAACAAATGACATTTCTTGAAAACAATATTCTTTTGGAAAATGAATCTTAACCAAACCTGCCTGATAATTGCAATGGCATTTTCACTGGTGATTCACTGATGATAATTTTAAGAATTAAAGTTAAACCGACTTGTAATTTTGGTACGAATGTTTAAACCTACTAGTCAACTAATCACGCACATGTAGTGATATTACGGAAGAAATATTAGTTAAATCAGAAAGATATGTTCAGTTGTAAGAATTTCAGGTATCTAGGTGGTATTTACAAATCAGTGTCTGTATGTTACTTGTGGAGTCCCACAGGGGTCAATATTAGGCCCTAAATGATTATTTTGTATATTAATAACATATTTAAGATATCAAGAATATTGAGTTTTGTTTCATTTGCGGACAACACCCATATTTTCTGTTTGGGGAAAAGTTTGCAGCAGCTTTTGGAGATTGTCATGGGTTACGGATGGGTTGTAGGTTATAATGTGGGTTTACAAGTAATGTCTTGTGTGTAAAAAGGCCTGTATACCAGTGTCCTGTCAGCTTACAGACTTCTGTAGAAATTCTGCCTGGACCTTTCATATTCTGTGTTGTAATTGTACACATACTCCTTGTCACTGTTGTACAGACACAGACTACAACAAACAGTAATGAGTAGAAGAAATACTGTGCATGCACACCCGGCAAGATGTGATGACATTATGGGAGTCTCTAGTGGCCATCAGATCACACAGCACTCTTGTTCTGCAAGGTGCCTGGACTGCTCCTACAACCACTTAGACTGTTTTTTTCACCTAATAACACAGACCTGTTGGTCTTCTTGAATTAAGCTGAGGAACACACTCACACATGAGTCCGGGAGGGTTAATTCAGTTAAATACGGCAAAAGTAGAATATCTTTGGGTAAAAGACTGTCACCTTGAGCTCTGTTGTTGTGACTTTCTGACATCTATTAAATGATTAATAGAAAAATTGCAGTAATTATACAGATTGTCATCAATTGAGTTCATTTTGTCATAGAAAAATCATTAATTGCTGCCCTAGAATTTGGATTTGTCTTACAAGTTATAATGCATTATCAAATGGTGTGTAAAGAAAGTGTTCTGTATTGCAGATTTTGAATGTTTTGAGTTTAGGTGGCAACTACATTTTTTAAATAGAATAAATTCATGTAAATAAGTGAAAAGCTGTTACACATCTTAACATGTTAACTCTGTAAAATAATGTTCAAAGGCTCATTTCGGGTGTATCAGTTTGACCATCAGCCTAATGTGAGGAAAAGACTTTATAATCTCCTCTGTTTGCTCTCTTGTCTCACTGAACAGCATCACAAGTGCAGAACCAGGTTTTCCTCATAAGACATCATGAATAAATTGACGCTCAGTTGAAATTCCGTAGGTGAGTGACTTATCTTCTGAAGATAAAAATGTCTCTTTGAATCTGCAGAATCTATCTGGTATGAAATGATTTATTGAGTGTGGTGGTCATTTTGGTCAATTTTCATGTATGACGCAAGTGACAACTTCCAGGGCTGAAAAATGAAGTGAACGTATAAGTGCCAATAACTGCACTTCCTCTAATGGCTACTTGAGGCTTCAGCTTCAACTGCATATCAGATGAAGTGCTTCCTAAACTAAAAGCCTGACTCCACTTTCAAAGAACAGTCATGCAGCTATGCACGCACTCTGCAGCGGCCGCCTGTGAAAAACTTTATTGAATGTTGTGAAGTGAATTCAGGTAGAGAGGAACCTCATTATAAGTCATATGTCATGTATTTAAATATAAAAGTGCAATAAATATATTTTGTTCTGAATTGCGAATTCCCCTGTTCATGACAACTGTACAGGGGATGAATTTTTATATAACTCACTTGTTGATTATATTATGGCTTAAAGTTATGCATATTTAAGGGCGTGGCTGCTTTGAGTGACAGGTAGGTGCCATCTGTTCACAAGTTGCTACTACAGCGACAACGTTGGTAAGGTAACTTAGCCATGGCATACTCCTAGATTCACGGAGTAAAGGCATAGCAATAGCTGTGATTATTTCAGTGTGTTTTCAGTTAATGAAAGTTAATTGTAATGTTTTAGCTGTCTAAAACAGTCATGTTTGGCCTTTGGTTATAAAAGACCCTTTTAGGAGTCAGAATTTCAGTTTCACGGATAAGAACATTTTGTGTTTATGCCAGTTTATAGTATTGAAAATTAGCATTAGCACTATCACATTAACCATAGGCTGTAAGTGCACCATCCTAACCAAGCTAGCAGCTTGCTTTAGGGTTAGCTCCACCCTCTTGTCCAAATGTGGTCACTTTTGGCTCCAAAAATCCAAGACAGCGATGGCCAAAAAGCCAAACTTAAGGCTACAAAAACAGGAGCTCACAACCCAATGGGTGACGTCAAAGTAGCTATGTCCATTATTTTTTTACAGCCTAAGGTATAATTAAGCAATATGACACGAGAGGGAGTGATGTTGTACTGTGATATCGTCACGGCTGTGATTCGGTCGTAGGCACGAGGCCGCAGCTCGAGTGTGACATTGCTTTTATACAACAGTTCAACAGTTAAATAAGCAAGGCTGATTAAGAAATGTTGAAAAATGAGGACAAAATAGATAATTTAAGCATTTTATTTGTCTTCCGCCAACAAAAATAGTTCCCTCAGGACTCCGCTGTCACCGTTGCTATGTAACGCA